TTTCTCCGCCTCTCTGCTCGCACCACCGCGACGATCTCGCGCGGTTATCCGCTCGCCCGTCGCCGGCGATCACGATTAAGCGCTTCAATGTCGCGTGCGCGTGTGTTCCGCTCTTCTTCTCTGTTCATCGATAGTGCGGCGAGATCGTGGGAGAGAAAAAGAGGAAGGCGAAATAACGCGGGAAGACCGCGCGTCGGCCGTTCGTGAGGAGCAAATCACCGGTTGTCGAGGTGTCGCGATTAGGGGCCCGATGTGACGACAGAATAAAGAAGGGAGGCGTGTTAGGATCGGCATAGAACATAGAGGAAATGACATGAGGAAATGCATTTCGTTCTCAGGCACTGAGGGTTTTACACTCTACAATTTTGCATTAATTTATCCAACTTTACGACGTTTGCCGCAAAAATTCCCTTTTCCCGGATAATCTCCGGACAAACACCGATGCGAGAGATAATGTTCGCGCGTTTCGCGATAAAGGAAACGTTCCGATCCGCGCGCGCCAGCTCCTTTTCCGGCTGCAATTTTCTATCGGGTACGCGCGGTACACGCGCGTGAATGATAATTTATGACGGCACCGCCGCGCCGCGTTTCCGCAGGCTCGTCGTTATAAGCGAGCCGTCGAAATACGCCGTAAGTCGAGACGTAAGTCGTTTTCACGGTTTTCAAGCCGCTTAGCTCGTGCCGACACGCAGTCCGCGCTTTTGCGCGATTTAATGGGGAAACGCGACGTTTTCTTGCGGAAGTGCCGGGCACGCCGAGGAAACGCGCGCCGCCCGTATGTATACAATCGTCCGTACGCAATCGTTTTTTCCCGTTCGGTTTACCGTTGTTGCATAAGCGACCGCGAGTGTCCTTTGCGAGTCGCGCGATGACAGATACCGATCGGCGCGCGCGCACGGAGAGATCAGCGAAAGATCGACGCTTGCGACATCGCACGCGATTTGCACCGCGTTATGCAACGCGGCACTTGCACTGATTCTTGCACCTCGCTGCGTTTCTTGCGATAAAGCTGTAAAATCTCGCGTGGCGAACGTTTTAATTTTCTCAGCACATTTTGCGCCTGTTGCAATCGAGAAGGGAAATTCGCCGACGAAAATCACGACGTTGACTAGCGTGCATCCCGGCGTTCTAAATTTATATCGCTCGGTTTCGTACCTCGCATGACACGATGGAATTATCCATTTAAGTTCCGCGGTTAATGGCGAAATAGCTCCGGATAATCGACGAAATTGTAGTCATTCCGCGATGAAATGGCAAGGTCGTACGTACGTCGATTCTATAATGAAACGTTTCTATATTTGAAAAGGCCGGAAACATATCTGTCTGGGGGAAGAGGCCGCGATCGTTTTCTCAGATAACGAGAGAATAATTTTCCTAAACGATCGAATGGTCGATCTCGCGCACTCGCGCACTCGTCCGTGGCATTACCAAAGCGTGTAATAATACTCGCGGCTAATACTCGTGACTGCGTTTTACATATTCGAGTTTTATATTTCGAGAAACCTCCTCTCATTTTTTTCTGAAAGATCATCACACAAAAATCAAATCAAGATTTATACATATACCCGTTTATTCTAGGGCTGTTACTCTTCGACAGTTTTGAAGCTTCGAAGTTAATTTCGAACTTTCGAATAATTCGAAGTTTCGAAGTTAATTTCGAACCTTCGAATAATTCGAAGTTTCGAAGTTAATTTCGAACCTTTGAAAAATGTATTTATGACATAAGAGTCATAATGGCAACATTAGAAATTTTATTTCGGAAAATGTATTCGCGGTATATTTCAAGAAACTTCCTCTCACTTTTTTCTTAAAGATCATCACACAGAAATCAAATCAAGATTTATACATATACCCGTTTATTCTAGGGCTGTTACTCTTCGACAGTTCTGAAGCTTCGAATAATTCGAAGTTCCGAAGTTAATTTCGAACCTTCGAAAAATGTATTTATGACATAAGAGTTATAATGGCGACATTAGAAATTTTATTCGGATTTTGTCATATAATTTTATAAATGTGTGCTTGTTGCGGTACTATATTGCTATTATCTTAATTGCTATTAATAATTATATAATTTTGATTCTTCGAATCTCCGAAGCTTCGAAGTTTGAATATCGAAGCTTTCGAAGCAAATCACCAGCCCTAGATACGCAAGAATCTATAGAATCTTGAAATGAGATATACATAGCATTAAGCGAAGAAAACTTGGTTGAATAAAGTCATTTATATAATTCAACCAAGAAAAAAAGTTGAAATTCTTATAAGAAAATTATAGATTCTTGCGTAATGTACGAGTATATAAATTTTGATTTGACACTTCTTTTATTCTGGGCACGAAAACGCAGAATTGTAGGAAGAATATTTAGAATTGCTTCGCTCGCAGTAAGGACTCCACGTACGTCATTAAATAAATTTGCAAACGTCGTTAGATAACAACCATTATTATTTTCGTTTCGTTTACTCTGCGTCTCGATGCCTTGGACCGTGGTTCAAAGATTCTCAACGATTTTTTAACTTCTATCCGGGACTTTCATCTCGCTGCTGGAGACGGAGGGCGGAATCGATCTATGCAAACTTGTCGACGCGGCGAATGTTTAACGACGGCTAATCATATCCCACGTACGCTGCAATTATTTCGTGCGGCGCGCACGACGCGCGAGCTGACTTGAACGCGAAAGAAAGGAAAAGAAAGCGGAAGTAAATGCATTCTCGCGGGGCATATGTGATTAGAGACACACTCGAGCTAATCGATAATGTGCCGCGCAAGTTCGGCGATCGGGATTTCCGCACGACCTCGAACTTCCTTTTCCTTATGGGAATCGTGGCATCGCGATCGACGTCGCTGCCGCCAATTTACACGATGCAGCGTGCAGCTCCATATAGCTTCGGGGCACGGGGCTAGATCGGTTCGGTGTGATTTGCGGTGGAAGGCCCGCGTGCAGGCGTGCACGCCTACGTTAGACGTAGGCTTGTCCGGAGAAAGTTCTCGTTACTCGCTTACAACTCTATCTATAGCTGCCGTTCTTTCCCTCGCGTCGCGTACGCACACGTTTCCGAAATCTTTCAAGCTAACGCGAGAGTGCTCTCGGAATAACGATCGCTCTTCTCGTGAATTAACTACGACGGTCTCTTGCGAGCTTCAGCTCTGTAGTCTGTAAATCAGTAAACTCGAAATTTTTTGAGATGCATTCTGGTATTGCGAACGATAAACAGATATCGATTGAATCGATCTCTTCTATGCCGAAATGATGATATAAATTGTTAAATTTTATTTAGAACGAAAAAAGAAAGTTTTATATGAAGTTTATAGGAATGAAGCTCGTTCTCTAGTGTTCTATATTGCAGATACAAGTCCATGCGTAAATCTTAAAAGAATAGTTTCCGAGGATCACCGACACGCCGACGGCGAATAAATCGTGTTGCAGCACCGCTTAAAAAACGGTGCGATTGGACATGCATCGTGATTTCGAACACGTGTTCTGAATCGGAATCGTCTTAAGAGCGACGCACTCATGCGTCGCGTAAACGGTGTTTTCCAACGCGACATGAGTGGTTAAGCGATCTAAGAAAGTGAGTTGTGACAAATGTAATAAAATAACGATATTAGGAATTAAAACGATATTTTATGTATATCTAAATTGATCCGAATGAATTGCACTTCTGATTCGTATGTATACCAGGTGACTCATATAATTACGCCATTATTTTGTCAAGGTCGTGATAGCGATGTAACTATTCAAAATATTTTACAGCGGAAAAGAATCTTTGCGAATTTGTTATCTTAAAAATGAAAAACATATAATTTTGGAAAGTTTATAATAATCTTAATTATTTGTTGTTTTTTTTGCTTACTTCGATTGTTTGCAAAATTTATTGCAAGAAATAAATGTGGATATCGTTTACCGGTCGCACTAAAATTAAGATTTATCGTTTTACAGTTGTAAAAATATTTTTCAATCGTGTATGCTCGTGCGCTATTCGTCGCTTGACTTCACACGACGTTCAAGCCAATGTTTCTCTTCCATGGCAGCAGCCCACAGCAGGTCGCGCGTATTCGGTTTGGATTTAAACATCAGTATACGACGAATTCGCGCGGATCAACTCACATTTTCGCAGCCGTTCTCTCATGTCACGCGTCCGTCCTGTCGCCTATCGATCCATCGCAGAAATCGTCGCGTGTATCCACGTGGTCTTCGCGAGCCGCGTGCTCGAGGCTTCGCATTACCCTCGCGAGCCGCCCTGTAGAATCAGCCGTATTCGACACGGTGTGTTTCTGCCGACGACTCTAATGCGGGAAATCTGCCTTCGTTACCTCCGTTCCTTCGACGGCACGAGCGTCGAACGGCGAGGGGAAAATGCGTGCGAGCCGCCGCTCGTTTTTCCGTTGGCGCACTCGGGAGAGGAACGGAACGTTGCGCGGTGAGAGGCCGGCGCTCGACTGCTCGAATGCACGGCGGATTCACAACCTGCTCCGGAATACCTGCCTGCCCACCACCCGGGTATAGACTCTACCAGGTGTCGGGGGTTCATTCGGGGGTACGTGAAGGGTCCCGTCGGATCTCGCGCGAACGTCGGGGGGGGGGGGCTCACGTTATTTCCTCACGTCAAAACTGAGAGAGGGAATGACGAGGGAAAATTACCAATACTAAATTACCTCGCTTATTAAAGATCAAGATGTAAAACGAGCCAATCTACGGTCAAAGACGCGGCGATAGAAAACATGAAGTGAATGCGGAACTTACGAGTGTGCCGCGCGCGGCAATGACTTTGGGATAAATGATATATTATTTCCTGTTTATGCTTTTTCAGTTCGTTAATTCCGTGTCTTTTACTTTTTGATAGCACGCTTATTTCAAGTTTGTGATAGGCATTCGAGTATGCGCCGAGGGCCATTATGAATAGAAAGTTTTGATTTTTTTTTCCAAGTAATCCATCGGAACGGTCTGATAAATCGGATATCGGATTGCGAAATGTATGCGGAAGTAATATGGTATTGCGTGAAATATTTCTAAATGAAGTTTAATAGTAAGAGAAACACACGACTACTATGGATACACAATCAATTCCGAGGAAACGTCAATTCGCTAAGGCGAAGAACTGTACGCAAATACGTGTAATATTATTAGACTATCAAAATCCAATCCTGACCGAACTGACGTTTCCTCGAAATTAAATGAATTTTACTTGGTATGTACATTTCCACTTAAGAATAATCCTTGTCACAACTGAATCACGAACTTATTACTCTATACACGTATGTCATGTAATGAAGTGTTTGTGTATAAATATGCACTGGCTCGAAATTAAATAATTCATATATCATATTAAAATATTCTAACTTAACTCATTTCCTTAACTCAGAACGTTCTCCACACAGATCTCACTTCTTTCCACGTGTGGAACGGGCCGTGTTTGCTAAATCTATCGATTATGAAATTTTTGGGATCGAATCGAATCAAACGCTTTCATAGGGTAATTCGTAGATTTTTATGGCTCATTTGGAACCCAGAAATCGTACGCGCCCGGCCCACTTTGCGTTTCGCGTTGCTTAATTCGATGCGACCGACGAAATTGCGAAATTTACAAGAACGTCTCTGCCGTCTTTATAACGAAATAAACAAATATTTATCGTGCGATAACTGTCACGTTAAATTATCAAATACAGCCAATAGGTTCGGCAGTTTATTTTTGCCTTTTTTTCCGTTGTCGCTAAATTTATTGCGCGATGCCAAATGTCGTTAGTTACGCCATTGTCGCCATTAGTTCTCGCATAGCTGAGCAAAGTGGGATTGACGCATTTACGGTAACAAATTACGGGGTCAGCGACAATGTACCGCGCGATGCGATGACGACGACGACGGCGTCGCACGAAAGCGTCCGGCGAAGGAAAGAGAGAGAGAGAGAGAGAGAGAGAGAGAGAGAGAGAGAGAAAGAAAGAGAAAGACCCCGGGCGCACATAATGACAGTGAAAGGATCGTGACTTTGCCATTGGTTGCGAGGGGAAACCGAGGCTATTATGCCCGACTCGCGCTCGTTCGCCTACGACAGCCGCAAAATGAGCAGCTCGGATCGAGTCGGAAACGGAGTTTCCGGAGATTAAGCCCCATACATATATTCTCAACTCTCTTTTATTGATAAAAGCGCGCTTTTATTTCTGAAATGCTATAGTTCATGTTACACATGTTATATAACATCTCAGAAATCAATGCACGCATTTGTCGATAAAAGTGAACACGGGCCTAAATGTCATTGGGGTGAAGTTAAGTCTCGTAGAGATTATGGAGGCTAGCAATTTACGATGGTTATTCTAAGAGCTCTATGCTGAATGATGGCTTTTCCTATGTGATATTATAGATTGAATACTCTTTTTTCGTCTGCAGCTTTTATACAAAGAGGTAAATAGAAAAAGCTCTGCAGCCTCCAAAAGACCGTCATGTTTTCTTCGTGCAGCTAACAAGTCTTATTTCGCTATAACGAGCATTTAATCGTCGATCTCATTACGAGCAAAATTTAAAGCTATTATAATTTCAGCGATATTAAATTTTCATTTTACGAACATCAGGGCAAAGTGTAGAGATTATTTATAGCTCGCAAAAATCCAGCGTTATGCTCAACGAAATTATATTAGCTTCAATGAGATTTAATCCTTGATCGTGAGAAAGGATAAATGACACGCGTGAATTTCGTCATTGGATCCTTCACGTAGAAATTGTGTTGTGTTCGGTGTTGCGGCAGTTTTCCGTGGTCAAGATCTTGGGTTGGTTAGCGATCAGAGTCTTCGTTTCATCAGGACACAGAGTAACTCTGGAAAAAAAAACCATAAAATAGTGTCATGAACAATAGGATTTAACCAATTACGCAATTCTATCTAGTCATTCTGTTTAATAATTAATATGCAATCAGAGATCGCTGTGTAATTACTTGTGCAATTATGTATGTCCGACTTTATAAATGCCAGCGGCTCACATTTATGACGCATCGCGCCGTACCAACTCTTTTTCTTTCAACAGCAACAAATGTCGCTGTCGAAACGCTCGCGCATAATAAAGACGTGCGATGCGCTATTGCACGGAAGACAAGCTATGGTGCGGCTGTAAAGCCGCACAGAAAGCTATAAAAAGACGCAACGTGCGAGAGATAGCGCACGGGCAAGGGATTTACGATTATTTCCTTAAGCCTCGCATGCGCGAGGACGTCGAGCATATGCGAAACGTCGCGTGTTCCAAGGATCCTCGCGATACGCGGTACCAGGCTCTTTTCGTTAGACATTAATTCGCCGACAATAAAGAAAGCGAAGTTTCTTACTCGTGATCGGTCTCCAGATTTTTAATGGTCAGCGCGTCGATGTAAGCCCGCGGTGTGTGCAGCAGCCGCCACGTGAGCGGGTTGAAGACCGACGTCTGGTACTCCCAGGTGATCTCCACCGTGTGCGGCCTCCCGACTACGTCGCCGGGCAACACGATCGTGTGCGTGCTACCGGGCTCGTAGTACTTCGACGCCGGGCTCAGCTGCATCCTTTCGGTTTTCTTGCCGTTCACGCCGATCACACGTACGACGAACATACCGACTTCCCCGCCGTGCAACAGACTCTCGTTCGTTTGGGAGATATTTATCGTCAGCTTGTAATGGGCCTCTGCAATTTCCACAACATTCTAATCATTTCAGTTTCAGTTTTGGCTCGTTTGTGAAGGCAAATGAACTGCGTAACCCACGCTCAATTACAACTTTACCCACAGAAAGAAAGAAAATTTATAATCTTGAAATGAGATATATTGCGTTAACCCTTAGCTGACACACTGGGGCCGTTTCAGACCCCACCACTAAAATGCTTGCTGCAAGAAAGCTATTGATTTTTTACTTAAAAAAATTCCAAGATAGTTTTCGAATGTTGTTTTAACAGATGTCATAGGTTATTTTGATAAAATGTAATATTAAGTATGAAAAAAATTGGAGAACGTAAAAAAAAAACGAAAAAAATGACTGTTTTCACTCAAAAATGCAAAACTCTTCCATTTTTTAGTACCATTTTCGTACTATAAGGGAGCTTAAATTAGAACTGAACTAGGCTAGGACGTTTAATACCCCACAGTACCAGCTAAGGGTTGAACAAAGAAAAACTACTTGAATAAAGTTATTTATATAGTTCAAACAAGAAAAACAAGTTAAAATAAAAAATTAAAATTCTTATAATAATTAAGATTACATTATAGATTCTTGCATATATACGAGTATATAAGTCTTGATTTGACACTTCTCTTCTTCTTTGTGGTAAATAAATGAATTGCGTTACTAACTGCAGAACGGCTTGTCACGTCCAGTCATCAGGTATACAGACGCGTGATAGTTCCCGGGCTGAGCATCCAGTCCGAATCTGGGACAATATTGGTTCACGCAATCGAAACAGCCGCCCTCCTGGAATTTGTCCCAGGAGCGGCACGGCACGGCCAAGAACGGGCACGGCGAGTTTATGCTCTCGATGAAGTACTCGTAACTGCGGATATGGTTGCATCCCAGAAACCTCTTAATCCCTGCGAAAGAGGAAGCGTTTAATGGTGAAAGAATATTTCGAGGTCGTATATGATTAATAAGCGGCTGGGAAACTCACCGCGAAAGAAACTGCCGCGTTCCAAGGTGATGGAATTGAGCACGCCTTCGTTACAGCCAGGCTGATTGCGGCCGCTATTCGGATAGAAATCGATGTGCCCAACCGGTTGCGTAATGCCGAGGCCACCGCTGATAAAAAGATTGCAGTCGGTGTGAATGGCTGTCACGAATGTCGCGTCCGTAGGATCCAGCCGCACCATCGGCGAGGTGTTGCTGAAGTGCGGTTCCGCCGGATCGAGGCCTTGCGAAGAGAAATTTGTAACGTGACAAATGTTGGCACAGACCGACGAAATTTACTGCCGAAATCGCGGCGCACGAGTTTGGCAGGGAGCACGCGAATACGCCGCATCGGCGAAATAAAGTCATAACAAAGAGAACGAATTCTGCATTGGAATTGGACGTTGACAAAGAATTGCTGATTTTTTTTAAGGACTTCTACAGAGAATTGTATTTATTTTTTTTTCGCTTATGATCTAAATTTTGTCGAATTTATATATATATGTGCATTGATAAATAATTAATACCTAATGGTTGCGAAATTATCTGTGTCGTAACAGAAATTTTCAATTTATGTTTCCGTGCATGCCGTCGAAACTAACAAGTTTTGAAAGCATGCACGAACTATATATAGAATATGCATCGTTCTGCGATCTAATGATCGCTCGTCTCGCTCGACTTATGAGGCACACATGGTTCAGCTCATATCACGTAAGGATTACTGAACGCCTCGTCGTAATATCGCATTAGATTGCGCAAAGACGGAAGTTATTTGCGGTTCGTAAACAATACGTTAACCGCTTATCCTTTTTACGGAGGAAAATCATCGTTGTGATATTCTTATGTCACGATGTGCAACGCGAAAAATTTATTATTTAATAAATGATACTCAGCGCAGCGAACTCAGAATATTCCACGTGGAAACGATTAATAATTTTTATACGCGGCGATGAATTGACGACGAGACTTGCATTTTGCTACGACAATTTTCCCCAGGACGCGCTCTTTCACGCCTGTGATTGATGATATCCCATTATCTTTCTCGTCCTTATTCGGACGAGGCCTATCCTCCTGCTATCCTGCCACTTCTTGGGACAACGTGCTCTCTTATTCTGGTTGTTTACCGCAATCTCGTCTCCGGATGTGTCCAGGAGCCACGCTTCTCGCTCGCATCCTCGGACGCATGTCTCGTCCTCCCGTCGACCGTGCTCTCGCCGTTCGCGACTCGAGACCCGAGACCGACCCCTCTCGTTAGGGGATGTGTCCTGGCCTTCGTGGTCGCGCCGAGGCGGAGAGAGGGCGTCGATTCGCCGACCCTCGGCGAATTCTGCGGGTCGCCTCGCAGCCATTGACGATATAGGCCCCGCCGCCGCCCTTGTTAACACACTTCGCGCCTTCTTCTGTTATCCTGGTAGTTCCCGATGGGATCGATAGCTTACGTAACGACCAAACCCGTCCACCTCCGATCGGGTGCGTTCGATTTCATCGATTCCGCCGGGGGGTAGAAATTTTGCGGGGTTCTACTTCTCCCGAAACACAAACTCCGCTTCCGTACATTTCTCATCGATTTGTCGTTGCCGTCGTTGGTAATGCAAATTGCATGATAACGGTGCCGACTTACGACGAAGAGTCACGCAGAAAAGAAGACACAGAGTCCTCACGTGACGATTGTATCCTGAATTTACGATTTTCAATTTCGTTGTCTCGTTGTTGCTGCTCGATATCGTAAGTTACATAAATCGATGGCATACAAATCACAGGAAAGTACAACGAAAGTTAACATGATTTTACAGTCGTTACATTCACGGTAACGACGATTGTCCTCTATTTGCTTGTCGCAGCGAGAGATATCGTCGTTCGCTCGAGTCTTAGCTCATTACTAGTTTGAAAAAATTTCACTGATTATTTAAATTATAAGTGTGCGTAATGACAACTCTGGATGGAAAGTTGAAGTATACGTTTCGAACATTAAAATTTTTCATATCCCTCGGAGATTCTGCACGCGTTCGCATCCTCGCCGATCATATAACTTCATTTGTATTAAATGTAATTATTTTCATATTTTATTAAACTTATTGTAGAAAATATAAAAAAATTGTTTTCCTTACTTTCGAGACTAAAGTGAGTTTACAGCTAAGAATGACGTTACGGTTCGAAAAATCTGAATTTTTATTATTACAAATTTCGTCATTATTAAAATCATTTTTCGCCCCTATTTTTACGCGCTTAATAACGTCTCGAGATCGACCCGTCGGACCTTTTCTAGCAAGACGCTTCTGCGGCGACTGTTATCCTGATCATCTGCGATTCAATCGGCTATCTTCGTAATGCTCCGAGCTGTTTGCGAGCTGCAGGAGGGGACAGACGGACCACTCGACATTGACCGATTTCAAGCAGAAAAATGAGGAAGAGGAGAGAAAAGGCGGCCGGCCGCGCCGTAACGACCGCGCGCGCGCCTTCGCGTACCATTCTTTCGCATATTTCCTATGACTTCATTCTGCGTCTTCCTTTCTCCTCCTCTTGCGCTTTCCTTTTGCAATCGCCTCCTTCAGCCTTGCATAAGGAGGCTTTTGACACTCTTCTCTCTCGCAATCGCTTCTCGAACGGTCGAACCTCTCATGAAGAAGCCCCTGGCTTTCTTGCCGCGTATACGTAATCTCTTCGGAGGATTATTTAATCAATCATTTTTTTATTCTTGCTTATTCATCCGCGCCATATAAAGACTTGCTTGCTGATTATTGCGCGGTATGACGAGGCCGTGCGATATCGCGCAGTATGGAAAATTGTTACTCGCGCGGCAGTGAGTAATATACATTTTGTATATATAAAAAAAATTGTATCCCGATGATTGATCGTTTACCTGTGATTCGTGCTAGTGTATACGCGTAGCGGTTTCGCAAGTTGTATCCCACGTAACCGCATGTGTGAGCGCCCAGACTGTGCCCGATGCAGTGCGTCTTCGAAGGTGGTAACTTGGTGACGTCGATCAGCTGTGCCACCAAGCGAGCTGTCATCGCGCCCACCAGCCGCGTGTTCGCCACCGCCTGCGTGTAGGGTGGTCCAGCCCCGCCGAGCCAATTGACGATCACGACGTTACAATCCTCCCGCAACAGCAACTCCTTCATCACTCTCTGTCAAAACATTCGCGTGAGTGAAGAGCTTTACAACAATACAACCGTAAAACCTTTCTAAAGGACAAAACATGTGTAAATTATGTGCAAATTATGTTATATGTATTCTTTTTATGAAAAGGAGGAGTTAATACAAAAACTCGATACATTTCGTAATAACGAACAAATTAACAAATTCTTATAAATCTGAAAATATTTTTAATCTCGTTAATTATAAAGTTTTTCCTTCTTGAGAGACGTTTTACGAAATGTCAACTTCTCTAAATCTCGAGAGGCACTCACCAAAACCCATGTTTTGTCTCCGTTGTCCAAGAACCCGTGGATGATGAGGTATAAATTTTTCTTCTCGTTCAAAGGCGATTTCCGGATCGTCTCGAGGCTATCGATCTTCAATTCGTGAGGGTTCTCGGTCTGTTCGCGTGTGTAAAGGGTGTAACGAGGGTTGATGCTGTCCGGGCGTGCGGGAAATGTGGACACCGGTCGGTTCTCTCCGGACCAAGGTGCGCCGATGTAAAAGCAGCCGAACGGCTCGTAACAACGCCACATGAACCATTCTAATTAATAAAAAAAAAGTACTCTTTACTCCCTGTTTTTAACCGCAAAAAAGATTCAGTGCAATAAAGCAATCTAAATTTAATTGGCTCAACTTGAAGATCGATTTTATTAAGTTTTTAAAATAGGTCAGGCAACCATCGTGAAATCTTTATTTAGAAACAGAAGATAATTAAAATAAAAATGTATAGATGCTCTCTTGAACAAATCAAATAAGAATAATGAAAGAGAGGCACGGTAATTAGTGCGCAATATATTATATTATTAAATAGACAAATTAAATAAAGTGGTGTTAAATTAACAGATTGCAAAAGACAATTGTTTCTGCTTTGAGTCCTTGAAGAACTTAAATCTTATACAAGAACATTTAGAAATAAAAACGTATCGATTACGCCTGCTGATTAAATAATATACGCTTATATATACATCGGGCTACCATGTCCGAGGTGCCTGAACGTTTATCAACTACGAAACCGTTAAGTTTTGTAATCTCATCTTTCGTCAATTTTATAATTATCCCTCAAATAAATGTCAAATAATTTGTTGTAGATAAGAAAAGGTAATATGGAACAATCGCAAAATTCTTCTGCGTTTAGGAGAGACTACCGTTATTCGCGCCGTGAAGTTATAGAAAGTTTCTCAGTGCGTCCGTACGCAAATATTTTGGTGTACGTATATCTAACTGATTTGTTCGCCGTCCTTCACTAATATCAACCGACGTTTCGAGAGACCAGCGTTACTACGGATTACTCTTCAGGGGTTATCAGCGCGTCCACGACATATCTCCGCACGCGGCTCTATCAGTTCCTCGAAGACCCCGTTGATGTTTTGTCTCCGTGTTGGAGATCAACGATTAGTGATCAGCGCAATATACGATGATAGCACGTGACTGTATACATATGTATAAGTGACTAACTTTCATTTTATTCATTGCAATACCCTTCCGACTTTTGTCTTTCGGGGTATTTTTTTAAGTCTCGCCACTCAATGTGAGACTTTCAAATCAAGTATGACTTTATTGCAAAAAAATATATAGAAGGCAGTAACAAAAGATTATTGTTTGTTCCGTTTTCTATACTCTCGTTCTTTTCACGAAGTATTTTAAATAAGTTACGGAAAAGTTACTTTGAAAGTAAAAAAAGATTATAAGAAGAATCTTTCATAGTTGACACTTACGATCGTCAAAATCGAATTTGTTCTCGGCCTCCTCCGGCGACAAGGTCGTCGTGGTGATATTCTGAGCTATGCTAATATTCTTTGAATCTGTTTTTTCGGGCAACGTAGACATTATTTTGGCCGTGTACGTCAGCACCAACAGAGTCTCGTTGAGAAAAGACATGTTGAAATATTCTTCGTATATAGTGTATATACCAACACACACAGGTATCTACAACCTTCACGTTGATGTATATAATTTACACTTGTCACAGTAACTCGCTCTTCCGTATTACGCTAATTTTATTATCGTAATTATCGTACTATTCCACCAAGTTTATATTTACAACATTGGCATTTTCAGACGGTATATCGAGTAAATTATGTTATCACAGTGTCTTAATGCCAACTTAATATTAACGCAATGTTAACCTAACGTCTTCTGTGCGAAGGCAAATTATGGACTATATATTAAGAATGTTATTCTTATAACACTCTCTTATTAAGAATGTTATTCTTTCTTATCACTTCACTTTCTTGAAAATTGGCAGTCGTAAATATCCAAGTAGCCTGGATCTTCGAAACTCTTCTGGTCTGTTGAACGTGGGACACACTTTTCGCTTTAAATTCTGCAGAAATATAATATAAATACGCTGCGACGTCCTTGGCGCGTGGACTCTACGAAGATCTCGTGAGCTCTAAATGTCTGTCTCGTCGACGAAGCAATTCATCACTGCCAGTCCGCTATGTAAGCCGCGCGATAAACAGTAACAATAATGAAAAAAAAAATCGATTGACGCAAAAGCGCCAATGATAGCACTCGTGTCGGCGGCGCGGTCCCGATATTGAGCGACCGTCTCAAAATAAACGAAATAATCGCGTGCGCGATTCAGTCTTACGGCACATTAATTGACGGTGCTATTTCAAGCCGTTAGCGTTCTCTCGATTCTTCTAGAAATGTAGAAATCTTTAATTAACTTTTATAATTAAGCGATCTTCACTTTTTAAATGTACAGAATTATAAGTTTTCTAAATAGTCTTTCAATTTAAATATTTTTAAAGAATTTTTAAACCACACTGAACGCTGCGAATAATTTCCTTTTCGATCGATCTCAAAGATCGAACGAACGTTCTGCTGACACGCCGATTACGCTGAGACAAGAAAGATCAAGACGCTCGAAAAGCGTCACGGCGCGCGTCGGTGACACGGTCACGGTCAAGCGTCCTCGATGATCTCTAGTCCTCCACTGATCGGCCACGCACTAATCACTCAAATTTCTGCTGACCCGTCTGAACTTCATGTTTCCGCCCCACTCCTCGAAAAGAGCTCAACTGGGAGCTCTCTTTCTCGGGGCGATCCGGTTTAAGATGGAAAGACGAGGCAAAGATCGCCACGTCGTTCTAACAGATCCCTTCTCTGTTACAAAAGTGCGCCGCATTTTCTCAAATTTTCCGAGACAGTCAATATTTCATAAATATGACGAAAATTATTGTAAAAGGATAAGCTCGCTTGATGTATCTATATTTTAAAAATATTTACCGCAATATATAGCAAATATTTGTTCACTTATTACGTACATGTTGACATAAATTGATGTATGAGGCACAGAATTCCACTACTTACGAGCCAATTAATTTTTCACAGCAGTACTCCACAGATATTTCCCAGTTTCGTCGATTTTCTCGAAATATCGAACTCGTGGGAGAATTTGTCGAAGCTGACTGACGCTTTGTGAGTTAACAGCCGTTCGAGGCAGCGGATCGTTAAGCGGATAACCGTTTCTACGGAATCCGACGGGGTATCGTCGAAAGTGTCTCAAAAGGACCGACCTTTTTGTGGCAGCCGCCTCTTCGTGGAAGCGCGTCTCTTCTCGGACGATACCAGATGATAAATCCGCCGGTAGTCCAGTGGCTCGCGGCTAATTAAACCAGATCAAAGACCACTCAAGTGCTCGTTAAGTCGTCCCCGTTTTTCCCCCAGTTGTTGTTCCCAAGTAAGCGCGACAACCGTTCCTCGCCAAAGTGCGGCAACGCGCGATCGCCGCATGGCGGATACGTGCAAAGAGACCGTCACGAGAGTTTCTGCAGGTAAGAGCAAAACGCATAGCCCCGTTGCATCGAGGTCGATCTTTGTTCGTTGGCGAAGACGAACGTCGAAGCAGGCTTGCGGGAGTGATTTATGCACGCGGAGAATGCTGTAAAAACTGCAGCCGAGACCTTCGTGCATGGACTTGAGATTTCGTAATAGATCCTTGAATGTAAATCATTTATTTATATTACTATTCAAACTAAAGTTTACGAATAAAATTATTTTAATAATTTTTGAATTGGAACAATATTATTTTAATTCTATAAGCTTTCGGTTTATTGCATAATATAAACGACAGCGACTGTGTTTTCTCAGGCAAAGATTCTTGTGTTTGTAGCGAGGTCACACGAAGCATATATATTTGGTGAATTTATGGTGGCGAAACTATTGTTCGCGCGTGCCTCATTCAGAACCCATTGAAATAAGATACGACGCAGGCCAGGCCTCGCACGAGGACAGGATAAACACAAAAGCTCTTTTCCGGCTTAGGTATGTCGAACCGATCGATATACGGGTGGGTCGAGGGAGCCGGTAACGCGCCCATAGAATTGGCGCGTACCGCCCTATGGGGTGCCATCGACCCCGGGGTCCTGCCTGCGTAAAACGAAGCCTCACGTATATCCCCACAGCATCCCCCTTCGCGAGTTCACCCCCGAGTGGGGTGAAATTCGTCCTCCTGCCCGATCGTGAATCCCTAATACCGCGCACCCCCAAGACTCTCGCGCTAGTTACTTAGAAAACATTGCGAAATCGTCGCGCCTGGAACGGCGCGCCGGGGCCCCGCGGGACTCCTGGCTGTTCCTGCGGGCTTGGTAGCCGAATCGTACGACTGTTGCATCGTGATTACCACGAAAAGTATGAATGACAGCTGAGCGGAATGCTGAGGGGGTTGCAGCCTCTGACATCGCCGCCGGCCGCGATACAGAGAATCTGCGTCCCGAAATTCTATTTCAATTTTTAAGCATACCGCGTACCTGGCGTTTAACCTTGCGGGTAATTTTTTCATACCCACAAAATTTCAAAATTTGTTATTTTCACAAAGCATATTTCCTGCACGCGCTAGAATTCGATTAAATCCGTAATTATATTTTTAAATTAAATGATATTTGATTTGTATTGAAAGACTGTGGTTTCTTTTATACGGCGTCACTTCAAAGTTGCTCTTACGTGATAAGTTGCCAACGAAAACCGGTTCGCTCTTTAATCAATTAATTAGCTATAAATAAAATACGCGATATTACGCGCGGTCGTTACCCTGAAAAAGTAAATAAAGTGGGCAGCGCGAAGGGGAAAGAAAGAGGAATCGAATATATAGAAGTTGCTCGTTGCTCGCGCGCGTGGGCAGTTACGTACGCCATAATGTGGGTCTTTAATGATATGAACGACAGACTGCCGTCCCCCTTCTGACCTTGAAGGAGCCCTTGAAACACTCCTGGCAACCCTTGCTACCCTGTTACATTGCCCTATCCAATCCCCATTCATTTACATGCGCCTCCGTGCAAGGCGACCTTCGGTCTCGGCCGAGCTGCAAAGTGATTTACCTCGCTGCGCCGGCACGTAAAGCAAACCCACACGAAGCGCCGCGCCGTTCAGCTAAATTGCTAATTATCCGCCGGAGCTCGGTCGTGTCTGATGCGGTTAGCAGCTACATCGTAGTAGCTTTACGCAACAAATCCGAGCGAGTCTTTGCGTCTATATGTATAATTATTATAGCGCAGTTTATCACCGTATTACGGCGAGTATACCTACCTGCCTGACGTATATCGCGTATATTATCATTTATAGCCAATTTCTTCAACGTCAGATAACTCTATCTTTCGGTTAACCTCACTCCTCATCTCTTTCTAAGGGGGCAGTTAGAAAGAAATGAAGAGTGAGGTTAAACAAAGGATAGAGTTATCCAACGGTGAAGAAATTGGTTCTTTTTCTTGTCCATTAGAATTTCTATATTCATATTTCAGTTACTTGTCAGTTTTATCTGCACTTTGTAAGATACCTTGGGTATTTCTCCGTCGTTTAATGACGATGTTCAACTTAGAAAAATTGCGTTTGGTCGGGAGAAAAATTCTCTCAATCGCAAACTGACGTTGAGATAAGCGTAATAAATATTTATTGACTACGTCGACGATGACGTGAATTAAATGTGCGGACGTTTAAATTTTAAATGTAGACGGATTAAAAATTTCTGTCTGCGTGAAAAATGTTTGTTCGTTGAAACGTGCGTCAATTATGCTTCTGTAACTGTACTTTGCACTGTTGATCTGCTGTCGTCCGCAGTCATGTAAATTACGGGTAATGTACATCAGATAACGAGGATTGCGTCGCCGGGACATAGGTCGGTCGAGCGAGATTTTCTTTCGAACTAAAAGAAACCGGATCTACATTCAATATACATGCTTAATTGCTTTCTTCAATATAAGATCGCAATGAAGGCCGAGTAAATAGCAATTTCGCTTTGTGCAAAAATAACTTGAGCAAGAAGCTCAAGGTTGTACATACATAATGTTAACTGTAAACTTTGTTGTTGGCTTTTTCATTCAAATGATAAACAGGTCTTTCCACGACCGTAAGATTATCTAAATTCAATGCACACGACAGACTTGTGTAGCAGTACAAATATTATTCTAAATATTATATGAATAAATATAAAATAACATGTTTTTGCATGTTTACAAAGTTTGCAGTTTTAGATTCTCTATTTAAAATTTTTATCTTAAAACAACAGAAGAAAAACAGAGTGTATAATAATAAAGATTCAGTTTATATATAAAAATTAATTATGAATTATAAACAATAGTTATAAATAATAAGAAATTTTTGTGATTTTAAAGAAGAATCGAAAAAAAAAACGAGCTGATTCACGAACTTCGAATCAATCTTTTACAATTTTTATCGGATTTTCTCTCGCGGTCGTCCCTTCGCGTTCCCCTCCCTGCTTTCTCAAGCGCACGTATGCCTTTATAGGGCCGCGCACACCGATCTAAACCTTGTCCGTCTTCATGAATCCCTGTTCTACTCGCCGACACGTGTCCGTCTGGGGTTGCGTAACCCTTTGAACGTGCGGGCTCGATACGCGACACACGTTATTAAACGCGCGACGGTATCGCGCCGGGGTGTCGCGCGCGCGAGCAGCTAAATGAGGAGAAAAAAAGGAACATACAAAACCAACTTCATTTTTTTCATCAGGCTAACATGAAAGTGGCGAAGCGAGCCTATACGCGACGCTACGCGACGCGATGTGACGCGACGCGAAGCGACGCAACGCGCCGTGCTGCGTATCGTTGCGTACGGTTCCGTATCGTTGACCAAAGTGAAACCACTTCCGCCTGCACGTTTTATGAGCCATATTCAAAGGTGCGCGTGTACCGTAACCAGAACTGTGTACATACATCCAACAATTCTTTCCGACCGATCCGGAATGAAATTTACAAACATTTTGATCGTATATCGTCTATTTTCAAATTCTACAATAGGTAATTTAAATTTAAGAATTTCGCGCGAAATTAAAATCCGAATAGATTGGAAAGTCTTAGGGCGGTATTCATAATCGGATATTATATCTAAGATCATCAAAGCAGTCTTAAGATTCCGTCCAGCCAATTAAATGACCGTATTAGCAACTCAAGACATTACTTAAGACGATCTTGAAATAAGATCCGACTATGAATACCGGCTTAGGCCGATATTCATCGGTTCTTATATTTAAAACAGTCTTAAAATGTCATGAATCAATCATAGAGCCATATTAGCATCTTAAGACATTACTTAAGACGGTCTTGAAATAAACTCTGACTATGAATACCGGCCTTAGACTTTAATTGGTTTTACAGATGTGCCATTTAAATAGAATATTTATTTAATATTGTTATTAAAAAAAATTAAAAGATAAACTTTTTCGCATAATGGTTTAGTTGTCGTATGCCGTATGCAATTGTATCTTCCGTAAACGCATTTAAATCGCGATTATAATAGTAAACTTATGCATGCAAACGCAAATTTATCAAATAAATGAGATTTAACATGAGAAATAATTTTGAGATACCGCACAATTGTTATATTATGTAGATCCTTATGATGCGTGTGAAAAGATTAAAAAGCCAGTAAAACATGATTCACGATTTAATATCAACTACTTTAATCAACCTCACGCAAGCGATGTGGATTTCGCGATAAATAATTTTCTCTTT